GCCGCTGGCTTGGTAGGGACGAGGCCCTGGAGGGGTACCAAGCCGGCGGGGTGCCAAGACGGCGGCCGCTGGCTTGGTAGGGAGGAGCCCCCAGGGGTGCACCAAGCCGGCGGGGTACCAAGCCGGCGGCCGCTGGCTTGGTAGGGAGGAGGCCCTGGAGGGGTGCCAAGCCGGCGGGGTACCAAGCCGGCGGCCGCTGGCTTGGTAGGGAGGCGCCCCCGGGGGGGTACCAAGCCGGCGGGGGTCCAAATACCAACCGGCCGCTGGCTTGGTAGTTGGGGGGCCCTGGAGGGGCTGCCAAGCAGGCGGGGTACCAAGCCGGCGGCCGCTGGCTTGGTAAGGGGGAAACCCGGGGGGGATACCAGGCCGGCGGCCGCTGGCTTGATAGGGGGGGGCCCGTGCGGGGGTACCAAGCCGGCGGGGTACCAAGCCGGCGGCCGCTGGGTTGGTAGGGGAGAGCCCCTGGGGGGGGGGGGGGTACGCAAGCCGGCGGGGTACCAAGCCGGCGGCCGCTGGCTTGGTAGGGAGGAGCCCCTTGGGGGGTACCAAGCCGGCGGGGTACCAAGCCGGCGGCCGCTGGCTTGGTAGGGGAGAGCCCCCGGGAAGAGGTACCAAGCCGGCGGGGTACCAGGCCGGCGGCCGCTGGCTTGGTAGGGGTGAGCTCCTGGGGGGGCACCCAACCGGCGGCCGCCTGCTTGGTAGGGGGGAGCCCCTGGGGGGGGGACCAAGCCGGCGGCCGCTGGCTGGGGGGAGCCCCCTGCGGGGGTACCAAGCCGGCGGGGTACCAAGCCGGCGGCCGCTGGCTTGGTAGGGGGGAGCCCCTGGGGGGGAGGGGGGTACCAAGCCGGCGGGGTACCAAGCCGGCGGCCGCTGGCTTGGCAGGGGGGATCCCCTGTGGGGGTACCAAGCCTGCGAGGGTACCAAGCCGGCGGCCGCTGGCTTGGTAAGGGGGCCCCGGGGGAGGTATCAAGCCGGCGGGGTACCACACAGGCATACCCTAACGGGCGGGTCGGGTCGGGCGATACGTTAAAGTATGATGAATCATCGAGCTGGCGCGTGCGTACCCTAACGCGCGGGTCGGGTCGATCGGGTGGGACAATAAAATATGATGCATAATCGAGTTGGCACGTGCGCACCCTGACGGGCGGGTCGGGTCGGGCGGGCAGGACATTAAATTATGATGCCCCATCGAAATGGCACGTGCGTACCCTAACGGGCGGGTCGGGTCGGGCGGGTGGGACATTAAAGTATGATGCATCATCGAGTTGGCACGTGCGTACCCTAACGGGCGGGTCGGGTCGGGCGAGAGACCCTAACGGGCGTGCGAGTCGGGCGGCGGGCGGGGCCCTAACGGGCGAGCGGCGAGTCGGGCGGGCGGGCGCCCGCGCGCTCCCTGAAGCACCACCGCACCACGCCACACATGCAACACCACCACGCCTCCTCATCCCCCTCATCCTCCCCCTCCTCCGCTTCCTCCTCCCCCCCCGACCTCCTCATCCTTTCTTCCTCCTCCTCTTCCTCCTCCTCTTCCTCCTCCTCTTCCTCCTCCCCCCTCCCCAGCCTCCTCCACCTCCTCCTCCTCCTCCTCCTCCTCCTCCTCCTCCTCCTCCTCCTGTCCCTCCCCATCCCCCTCCCTCTTGGTATCGCTGGTACCGGAGGCTGTCGAATACTGGGCGCTCTCTTGGAGGCGGGGCCTATTGAGTACCGAGTGCTGTCTTCAAGATGGGGACTGTTGAGTACTGGGCGCCCTCTTGGAGACGGAGCCTGTTGCGTACTGGGTGCTCTCTTGGAGGCGATTTTCTTTTTTAATGCAACTTCGCAGGGGCCTCTCTGATATCGGAAGCTGTGGAGTACTGGGTGCTCTCTTGGAGGCGGGGCCTGTTGAGTGCCGAGTGATGTCTTGGAGACGGGGCCTGTTGAGTACTGGGTGCTCTCTTGGAGACGGGGCCTGTCGAGTACTGGGTGCTCTCTTGGAGCCGGGTTTCTTTTTTAATGCAACTTCGAAGGGGCCTCTCTGGTATCGGAGGCTGTGGAATACTGGGTGCACTCTTGGAGGCGGGGCCTGTTGAGTACCGAGTGCTGACTTGAAGATGGGGCCTGTTGAGTACTGGGCGTCCTCTTGGAGACGGAGCCCGTTGCGTACTGGGTGCTCTCTTGGAGGCGGACTTCTCGTTTAATACAACTTCGAAGGGGCAACTCTGGTATCGGAGGCTGTGGAGTACTGGGTGCTCTCTTGGAGGCGGGGCCTGTTGAGTGCCGAGTGCTGTCTTGGAGACGGGGCCTGTTGAGTGCTGGGTGCTCTCTTGGAGACGGGGCCTGTGGAATACTGGGTGCTGTCTTGGAGGCGGGGCCTGTTGAGTGCCGGGTGCTGTCTTGGAGACGGGGCCTGTTGAGTAGCGGGTGCTCTCTTGGAGACGGGGCCTGTTGAGTACTGGGTGCTCTCTTGGAGGCGGAATTCTTTGGGAATGCAACTTTGAAGGGGCCTCTCTGGCATCGGAGGCTGTGGAGTACTGGGTGCTCTCTTGGAGGCGGGGCTTGTTGAGTGCCGGGTGCTGTCTTGGAGACGGGGCCTGTTGAGTGCTGGGTGCCCTCTTGGAGACGCGGCCTGTTCAGTACTGGGTGCTCTCTTGGAGGCGGATTCCTTTTTGAATACATCTTCGAAGGGGCCTCTCTGGCATCGGAGGCTGTGGAGTACTGGGTGCTCTCTTGGAGGCGGGGCCTGTTGAGTGCCGAGTGCTGTCTTGGAGACGGGGCCTGTTGAGTACTGGGCGCCCTCTTGGAGACGGAGCCGGTTGAGTGCTGGGTGCTCTCTTGGAGGCGGAATTCTTTTTTAATGCAACTTCGAAGGGGCCTCTCTGGCATCGGAGGCTGTGGAGTACTGGGTGCTCTCTTGGAGGCGGGGCCCGATGAGTGCCGGGTGCTGTCTTGGAGGCGGGGCCTGTTGAGTACTGGGTGCTCTCTTGGAGACGGGGCATGTTGAGTACTGGGTGTTCTCTTGGAGGCTGATTTCTTGTTTAATGCAACTTCGAAGGGGCCTCTCTGGCATCGGAGGCTGTGGAGTACTGGGTGCTCTCTTGGAGGCGGGGCCTGTTGAGTGCCGGGTGCTGTCTTGGAGGCGGGGACTGTTGAGTGCTGGGTGCTCTCTTGGAGACGGGGCCCGTTGAGTAGCGGGTGCTCTCTTGGAGGCGGATTTCTTTTTTAATGCAACTTTGAAGGGGCCTCTCTGGCATCGGAGGCCGTGGAGTGCTGGGTGCTCTCTTGGAGGCGGGGCCTGTTGAGTGCCCGGTGCTTTCCTGGAGACGGGGCCTGTTGAGTACTGGGTGCTCTCTTGGAGGCAGATTTCTGCTTTAATGCAATTTCGAAAGGGGCCTCTCTTCAAAGCGAGGACCCAGCAACACAAGTTGGTTGGGGACAAACGAGGGGGGCCGCCCTGGGCCACGACTCGAGCGGGGAAGCGGCGCGGGGCGGGCAGGCGAACTCTTTTGGATCAAAGAGCAAGGCGAAGCGATCGCCTCTCAGCGCCCGCGAGAGCTCCGCGGCGCGCGCGACGGCAGTCCTGCAGAACAAGCCCAGTGCGACTTGCGCGCGCTGCTTGAAACAATTGAGGTCCCAAGAGCCTGTGTCCAGACGGCTCCGCGGCCGCCGGCGCGCGCGCCCTGCGCCACTCTCTGGAACGATCGCCCCAGCCCCCTTCTCTGCACCCTGCGCTACAATGACCCGACAGTGCCCATTCAACCCGGCGCCCTTTCGCCTACCCCGCAGCCCAATCCCACCAGCCCTCTGGGCGTAGGTGGTCTAGAGCAGATCCTCTTCCACCCCTCCCTCTTCCCCCTTGGGGAGGGGTTTACCCCTCCCCCTACCCCCTCCCCTGGACCTGGACGGGGGGGGCCGCGGGTAGTTAGAGCGTCCAAGATGGCCCAAGACGGCTCCAAGAGCGCCTCAGAGAACCCAAGATGAGCTCCAAGATGGCTCAAGATAGCGCAAGATCGCTCACGATGGCTCCTAAGATGGTTCCAAGAAGCCCAAAGACGGCCCCAAGATAACTCCAAGTGGCCAAACAGCTCCCCAAGGAGGCCCCGAAGAGGCCAAAATCGTCCCAAAACCTAAGGAAAATCAATGATTTTTGCTTTCTCGCCTTTTCGCTTCCGATGGCTATCCGAGGCCTGGAGATGGCTCCAAGATGGCCCAAGAGGGCCCCAAGAGAGCCCCAAAAGAGCCCCAAGACGGCCCCAAGAGCGCCCAAGAGCACTCCAAGAGCGTTCCAAGAGGGGTCCAAGAGGCGATTTTAGGGGCTTCCGAGGGGGGACGCTAATTAAACCCCCCCTCTTGTTTGATCGACTCCCTCCAAGATGGCCCCAAAAGCGCCCCGAAGGCTCCCCAGAGCGCCTCAAGAGGGTCCCAAGAGGCGCCCAAGATGCCCCAAGGCGCCCAAAAAGCCCTCCAAGAGGCCCTCAAAAGACCCCCAAGAAGCTCCTTCCCCTCCTCCTCCTCCTCCTCCGATTCTTCCTCCTTCTCCGTCCTCCTCCTCCTCCTCCTCCTCCTCCTCTTCCCCCTCCTCCTCCTCCTCCTCCTCCTCCGACGACGACGACGACGACGACTCCTCTTCCATCCTCCCCCTCTCGGGGTCTGTGACAGCTTCCCCCGCCCTTTGTTATTCTGCATGCTCCCCGACTTCCCTGATCACCTCAACTCCCCTGAGCATCGTTTCTGGATGGGCTGGTGGGGATACGCGAAGCGTCAACAATTTAAGACCCCCTCCCCGACGAGAACTCCAAGCACAGGGCTGCACCCCGCTGCACTGCCTTCAACTCGAGCCCAATCGTCTCCACCCCCCTGGATTCGCTCTGCGCGCCACGAACTGGCTACGTGCTATGATTCGCCACCCTGCCCCGCCAGTCGCCCATGGGTCCCGCGCCGACGCGCAGCGCGCCGCGCCCCCACTCGCCCGCGGCAGGCACCCTCCCCGACCCCATGTCTCCCCCGTTCGCCCCCCCGCCAACCTGCCCGCCAACGATCGGCGGCGCGCGCCAGGCGGCATCTGCGACAATGCAAGCCCGAAGCCCATAGCAGCTACCGAGCGAGAACATGCCGCGCACGTCGGCCCGGTCCAACCTAAGGGGCCGGCTGTCCTGACCAAAAAAATATCCGCACCCGGCGGACACATAATTCCGCAGCACTGCGTGGCGCACGGTCTTGCTGCGCAAGTTAATCCACACGTGAGCGCTGTGTAGGTCCTGCTTCCTCATCGTCGGGAGAGGATCGCGCGGCGCCTCTGCCGGGGCGGCACGCTTGCCTGCCTCTCCATCCGGGGCCTGTTCAGGCGGTGGGGGCTCTGGGACCTCGCAAGACGTCCGGATTGTCTTCCGCTTCTTCCGCCAGCCCGCGCGGTCTGGGATATCGCACTCGCACCCCCCCGCGCACGCCGCCGCGAGACGCAGGCCCCCCTCGGCCGAAGAACTCGGTCCGCTGCGGGGGGCAGCCGGCGCAGCTTGAGCGGAGCGGTGCGTCTGGATGGCGCGGTGGCAGGACTGCCTCCTGTTGTGGTCCCGCGCGAAAATGAGGAGCAGCAGCTCCTCGTGCACTGGGTGCGCCCCGGACAGGACGACCTGCCAGCGATTGGCCACGTGGAACAATTGCTCCGCCGCTTCTGTGTCCACGCCCTTCAGAGAGGGGTAGTCGTCGGCGTCGATGCCAGGCACGAAGTACGGGCTCGTCTTATCGCGGCAGCTCTTGTGATAGGTGAAATGCAACGGATCGATGATCCATTGCAAGCCCAGTAACCACGTCCAGCCAGGCGCGCCCGGATCACTCGGGGGGCCCTCGCGCTGCCGCTTGCGCAGGTGCCGCGCGACCGCGCAGGCGTTGTCGTAAATCGCGTATGCCAAATCTAGGAACAGCTCCCTGGTGGCCAGCAAGAACAACAGTAATTGCGAAATGCTCTCGGACGCCCACATCGGCGCAATTGCCGCAATTTGCAGGCAGGGCGTGACGGCCACGAAGATGCCCGCGGATTTGCGGCCAACCAGCAACTCGTCGACGTCCTTCCTGTCATCCTTGTTGCAGTCCTCCTGCTGTTTCTTCTGCCTCGCCCGCCGAAGCAACCGCATCTCGCACTGCCTGACGTCGTCCGTGTTCACGGCCTCCCGCCTCGCCCACCCCCCCTGCACCCTGTACTCCAGGAGCGCCCCGTCTTGCCGGACTGTTTTACGGTGGTCCTCCACCACGAGTGCGTCCAGGGATTGCTGCCACCGTCGTCGGTGCCCGCGAGCATACGCATGCCTCTTGCAATACAAACTGCCAGGGGCGGGCCGCTCCGTGCATCCCTTGAAATACCCCTCCCGAACTTCCGCGGAGAAGACGGGATTGCAGTCCCGGGCATTGCATATACTGGTCTGGACGCACCATTTGCCGTCAACGACCAGGGCCCGCACGCGGCGGAATAGCTAGCAAGCATGAGAAGCTGACGACGTCGAGAACGCCTTCCTCGCCTGACAGAGCAACGCCTCAAAATCGGAGCCCTGGTGGCGCGGCCGCAGACGCCAGACGAATGTGTGAGCGTCCAGAGCGCACTCGGCGAACATCAATATGCAAGCGAAGGCGATCACGTTGATCTCGAAGATCTGCAGCAGGTGCGTCCTTGACGCGCACATCGTGCCGCGCATGGGCGCTGGCCACAAGGTCTGGTAGATCACAGCGAACGCTGTGAAGCTCATGCCGCCGCGGGCTAGGAAACCGAGCAAGTAAGACAACAGGGTGACCTCAACGACGACCTGCGGAGTCGCAAAAAACCACCGGTTCTGCTCGCAGCAAGTGCGGGCAAGAACAGGCGAGTGAAAGCCTCGCAGGAACTGAGAACCCTTCGGCACTGCTGGCCACTTCCAGTTGCCGGCAAATACGGCGCGGCACACTGTGCATCGGAGGCGCACGACGTTCCCAAGGCGAGCCCCTCGCGCCAGGGTAAAACACAGCGCTGGCAAAACTCTCCAACGACGCAAGCGCTTGTGGAAGCACTCGGTGACGCCAACGGGCACCCACTCCTGAACCCGTTCGAGGAGCACCGCGGGGCCCTCCCCTGGCGCGAGGGCGATTGCGCGCGAGCGCTCCCCGACGCCGAGATCTTCGCGTGGAGCGCCACCTGCTCCTGCAGGGCCAACTCCTTCTTGCCAGGGTAGTCCGCGCCGTCCACGTGCGGGCCGCCGCGGTGCATCGTGCGCCAGTAGCTCAGCTGCCCCCTGAGCGCCCCCCCTTCGCCCTGCAGGCGGGCTACCTCCGTCGTCAGGCCCGCGCACCTGGCAGACCAAGTGCGGTTCGCGGTGCGGCCCGGCGCCCCCGCGCGAGGAAGTCTGCACTTTCTCCCGCAGGCGCGCTCAGTGGCCGTCAACCCCGTGAACCGACCTCGTCTCCACCTTGCTGCAGGCCGCGTCTGCGTCGGCCGCCTCCTGGCGCGCCTGCGCCAGCTCCGCGCGCACCGTCGCGAGCTCCTGGTCGCGCACGCCCAACGCCGCGGCCGCGGCGGCGGCTTTCCGGCGCGCTTGCGCCAGCTCCTCCCGCAGCCTGCCAACGCCGGCGCCGCGCTCGCCCCCCGCGACCCCCGGCGCCGCCGCCGGGGGCGCCGCCGCCACCCGCGGCGCCGCCGCCCTCGGCGCCCCCGCGGCTGCGCGCGGCGGGGCCTGCTGGACCGCCGCCGCGGGCGCGGCCGCGCTCGCGGCCCCGCTCTCGCGAGTCGACCCACCGTCCGGCGCCGAGCTCTTCGGGGAGCGCGAGCGTGAGCGAGGCTTGCCGCCCTCGCTCGCCGGCGCCGCTGCCGCCGCCGCCGCCGCCCGCCGCGCCGGAGTGGCCGCCGGCGGCCTGGCGCCCCTGTCCCGCTTCGCCGTGACCGCGGCGCCGTCCTTCAGGGCGTCGCCGAGCGGCTGGTCGAGAGGCAGCGGCTCGCCCCGCGCGCGTCCCTCCGGGGATCTGCATCCCAAGATGCTACATGCTAGCCACAACGCCGGCACGGACGATAAGTATGAGTTCTCCCAGGCACACAGGCACTGGGTGCTCACAACCACCGTGGTTCACGCACGCGCTGCAGTAAACAAGAAGCTGTGGTCTACACAAGCGTCGTCGTGCACGCGGGAGCTGTGGTGCGCGTAAACACGGCGGTGTACACAGGCGCAATGGTGCACGCGGCTGCTGTGGTGTGCACGCGCCGTGGTATGCACAGGAAGTGCTAGCATGTAGTTGGGGCGAGAACAGATCGCCAGCCTCGTTCTGGTAGTTGGCCGCCGTGAAGGTCCAGCCCAGCTTGGCCTTGATCGCGGCGAGGAGGTCCGCCCCGCTGGCCGCCGAGTCAACCTCGATCACGTCGGACTTCGAGTGACCGTTCACGGCCAACAACTTCAGCATCACCATGGCGACGGCCGCACAAAGCTGAAAGCCCCCGGCGCTTGAAGCCGAGAATCTTGACCATTACCTTCCACCTTCAATACCCCTCTGCCCTCTCTTCCTTCCCTCTCTTCCTCCTCTGACTCCTACCGCATTCGCGCGCATGTCGTCATCCCCTCCTCCTCCTCCTCCTCCTCCTCCTCCTCCTCCACCTCCTCCTCCTCCTCCGCTGCCGTGGCGTCCTGCCACTGCTCATCGACCTCCTCATCCACCTCCTCGTGATCATCCTGATTCCCTCCTCGCCCTTGCATTCCTGATCCTCCTCCGCGTCATCGTTCCTCTCACGATGGGGTTCCAACCTCAAGGATCGAGTTTCGAGGTTACCGATCCTGCGGGAATATCCGCGCCACGATGGGAGCCTCTTGGGGACTCTTTGATGGCCTGTTGGGAGCGTCTCTGGCTGTCTTGGGGCGCTTTGGGAGTCCCTGGGGGAGCGCCTCCGGGGCTTCTCGAAGGCTCTTGAGGTTACAAGGTGCCGCCTCGGGAGCCACTTGTGCCGTCGTGGAACGATCGTGGAGGCTTCTTCGAAACCCCTGGACGTTTTCTGGGCTCGTGTTTATGTCTTCGGGTCGAACTTGAACCCCTTCCAGGGTGTCTTCGGAGCCTTTTCTGGAGGCTGTCATGGCGTCTCGAGGCGGTTCTTGAGGCAGTTTCGGCCGTCGTTGACGTGTCCACAACGAGAAATGTGGAAACGCTAAAATTTCAAGAGAACTTCACGAGCGTTGGAGATTTTCGCTTCGTCGGGCCCTTCAGGGGTGTCTCTGGAGGCCCTCCTGAGCTTTTTTGAGGGCTTCCAAGGCCGTCCCGAAATCGTACTGAGCCATCTTGGGGGCATCTTGGACCGTTCTCTGATTTGTACTTTTTGGGCCGCGCTCCATTTCAACCCCTGAACCACTCCTGCGGCCCAAATGCACCAGCCAAGTGCGGAACATCGGTAAAATCATTCAACACATGTCCCCGCAGTTTCAGCGCCCCCGAAACACTTCCAAGGCGGTTGTTCCACTGCATGCTTCTACACTTCCCTGATCAAGGCAACTCGCCTGGCGATCGTTACTGGATGGGCTGGTGGGGGCACGCGAAACGTCAAGAATTGCATCTCTCTCTCTCTCTCTCTCCCTCTCCCTCTCCCTCTCTCTCTCTGCGTGTATATATATATATGTGTATATATATATGTATACATATGTACATATATATATATATATATATGTGAATGCATACATATATATACATATATTTGTGTGTATGTGTATATGTAGGCATATATGTATACATAAGTATATGTTCATCCGCCACCGTGCCTCTGGGCACGGAGTGGGCGTGTCCTCAGGTCCTCTGCCTCATCCCCTGGGCCTCAGTCCTCAGTCCTGAGGAATATTTTGAGGGACCAGACCCCAAATTGCCAAATCTCCTGGGGCTCCCGGCCGTTCCCCTGGGGTCCCCGGCAACTTGTCGCGTGACTGGTTCGGGCCCAAGAGGGCCCCAAGACGGGCCAAGATAACCCCAAGAGGCGTCCAAGACGGCCCAAGAGGCCCCCGAGACGCCCAAAGATCGCTCCAAGACTCTCAAGATGGGCCTAAGACGGCCCAAGAGGCCGCCCAGACGCCCCAAGACGGCCCAAGAGGCGTCCAAGAGGGCCCCAAGACGTTCCAACAGGCCTCAGAAGAGCGGCCCAAGAGGTCCAAATCGACAATTTCCATTTGTTTTTGAAGGATGTTGGCCCTCCCGCCTTTTCGGCTCTCCGACGCTCCAAGACGGCCTAAGAGGCCCCCAAGACCGCACCAAGACGGCCTCCAAGAGAGCCCCAAGACGGCCCAAGAGGGACCCAAGACGGCCCAGGAGGCGCCCAAGACGGCCCAAGAGGCTCCCAAGACGGCCCCAGGAGAGGGCCCAGAGGGGGACCACAGACCGAAAGCTCAAGCCTTCCGCCCCAAGAGGCCGCCAGGAGACCCCAAGAGGCCCCGAAGAGGCCCCAAGGGGCCGCCAAGACGCCCCCAAAGAGGTTTTTGGGCCCAAGAAGCTCCAAAACAGCCCCCAAGATGCCTCAAAACTGCCTCCAAGAGGCCCCCGAGAGGCCAACCACGAGATCCCAACCAACATCCATGAGGCCTCTGACCCATCACCCAGGCACGATGGCGGGAAGGGCCGAAGGCCAGTAGGATACGAAGCCGGGGGGGTACCAAGCCGGCGGCCGCTGGCTTGGTAGGGGAGAGCCCCCGGGGGGGTACCAAGCCGGCGGGGTACCAAGCCGGCGGCCGCTGGCTTGGTAGGGAGGAGCCCTCGGGGTGTACCAAGCCGGCGGGGTACCAAGCCGGCGGCCGCTGGCTTGGTAGGGAGGAGGCCCTGGAGGGGTACCAAGCCGGCGGGGTACCAAGCCGGCGGCCGCTGGCTTGGTAGGGGGAGCCCCCGGGGGGGTACCAAGCCGGCGGGGTACCAAGCCGGCGGGGTACCAAGCCGGCGGCCGTTGGCTTGGTAGGCAGGCGCCCCCGGGGGGGTACCAAGCGGCGGGGTACCAAGCCGGCGGCCGCTGGCTTGGTAGGGAGGAGGCCCTGGAGGGGTACCAAGCCGGCGGGGTACCAAGCCGGCGGCCGCTGGCTTGGTAGGGAGGAGGCAAGGGGTACCAAGCCGGCGGCCGCTGGCTTGGTAGGGAGGAGGGGTACCAAGCCGGCGGGGTACCAAGCCGGCGGCCGCTGGCTTGGTAGGGAGGAGCCCTGGGGGGTACCAAGCCGGCGGGGTACCAAGCCGGCGGCCGCTGGCTTGGTAGGGAGGAGGCCCTGGAGGGGTACCAAGCCGGCGGGGTACCAAGCCGGCGGCCGCTGGCTTGGTAGGCAGGCGCCCCTGGGGGGGTACCAAGCCGGCGGGGTACCAAGCCGGCGGCCGCTGGCTTGGTAGGGAGGAGGCCCGGGGTACCAAGCCGGCGGGGCCAAGCCGCGGCCGCTGGCTTGGTAGGGAGGAGGCCCTGGGGGTACCAAGCCGGCGGGGTACCAAGCCGGCGGCCGCTGGCTGGTAGGGGAGCCCTGGTACCAAGCCGGCGGGGTACCAAGCCGGCGGCCGGCGGGGTACCAAGCGACCAGGGGTGGCCAAGCCGGCGGGGTACCGGAGCCGGCCCCGGCGGCCGCTGGCTTGGTAGGGAGGAGGCCCGGGGGGTACCAAGCCGGCGGGGTACCAAGCCGGCGGCCGCTGGCTTGGTAGGGAGGAGGCCCTGGAGGGGTACCAAGCCGGCGGGGTACCAAGCCGGCGGCCGCTGGCTTGGTAGGGAGGAGCCCCCGGGGGGGTACCAAGCCGGCGGGGTACCAAGCCGGCGGCCGCTGGCTTGGTATCTGGATGGGTTGGTTCGGCGCCAGAAAGGGTACCAAGCCGGCGGCGGGCGTACAGTATGCTTGGGCTGTTTGGGGGCCTCGTCGGCGCTTTTTGGGGGGCCTCTCAGGGCTCTAGGGGGTCCCGAAATCCTCTCGGAGGTCTCTGGCGGCCTCCTGCTCCCGCTCTTGGGCTCATCTTGGGCCTGTTCTGGGGTGGTCTGGAGCTGTCCGGGGCGCCTCTTCGGCAGTCTTGGGGCCGTCTTGGCCCGTTTTCGGGGCCTCTTGGGCGGTCTTGGGGGCCTCTTCGGCCGTCTTGGAGCGTTGGAAGCATGAAATGGTGATAAGGCCAAAAACAATGAAAAACATATAGACAATCAACGACTTTGGGTTCTCCGGGCGCTCTCGGGAGGCCTCTCGGAGCTCTCTTGAGGTCTCTTGGAAGCCTCCTGGGAGCCTGGAGAGCCGCCCGAAAGCTATCCTGGGTTGCTTGGGAGCGTCTTGGACCTTTCTTTGACGTTCTGGGGGTTTCTTGGGGTCGTCTTGGGCTGTCCTTGGGCGTTTGGGGGGCTCCCCGGGAGGCCTGGAAGCGCGGCACCGGGAGCGTTCCGCAGATGTTCCGGGAAGGTGTGTGGCCCCGGGAAGAGGGGGCGCGCATTTATTGAATTGGAAATTATCCCGGCAAAGCAACCTAACAGCGATGTGTAGGAGCATATCTGGAAGCATTCCCCTTAAGATTCAGATGAGAATCCAGTTGTAGAATTCTGCTGTTCTCGCAGTCGTAGTCGCATTCGCGATGACAGTCGCAGTGGCAACGGCAATCGCAGTCACAGCCTCAGCCTCAGCCTGCCTCAGCCTCAGCCTCAGCCTGCCTCAGCCTCAGCCTGCCTTCAGCCTCAGCCTCAGCCTGCTTCAGCCTCAGCCTCAGTCTGCCTTCAGCCTCGGCCTCAGCCTCAGCTGCCTCAGCCTCAGCCTGCATCAGCCTCAGCCTCAGCCTCAGCCTGCCTCAGCATCAGCCTGCCTCAGCCTCAGCCTCAGCCTGCCTCAGCCTCAGCCTCAGCCTGCTTCAGCCTCAGCCTCAGTCTGCCTTCAGCCTCGGCCTCAGCCTCAGCCTGCCTCAGCCTCAGCCTGCCTCAGCCTCAGCATCAGCCTGCCTCAGCATTCAAAATGTGGCCCGGGAATGGAGTTCTGGGAACTCGAAGAACACGAAGTGGCCTACAGTTGGCTCCGGGCATTCAAAATCATGCCCAGGAATGGAGTTCTGGGAACTCGAAGACCACGAAGTGGCCTACAGTTGGCTCCGGGCATTCAAAATGTGGCCCGGGAATGGAGTTCTGGGAACTCGAAGAGCACGAAGTGGCCTACAGTTGGCTCCGGGCATTCAAAATGTGGCCCGGGAATGGAGTTCTGGGAACTCGAAGAGCACGAAGTGGCCTACAGTTGGCTCCGGGCATTCAAAATGTGGCCCGGGAATGGAGTTCTGGGAAGTCGAAGAGCACGAAGTGGCCTACAGTTGGCTCCAGGCATTCAGAATGTGGCCCGGGAATGGAGTTCTGGGAGGTCGAAGAGCACGAAGTGTGTGACTGTTTGTTAAAAAACGCATTCGGATACGAGTTCGGACACAGCTCCCCGGGTCCCGCCCCGACCCCCCTGTGGAGTCATCTGCTGCTTTCT